TTCACGCTTACGTTTTGGCCTGTAAGATACGTTAAGGTATGATGCATTTTGATAAGCGAATATTTCTATCACGCCTGTGCTCAGAAGCCCATGAGGGCAGCTGTTGCAGCAGGGCGGTTATCGTACTCTTTGGGTTTCTTGTGTTCGTGTTGTTTTGATACGTGAAAGTTGTTGTGAATTGCATAAAGTGAAATCCTGGAGAAAATTAATGTATAGTCAACCATCTGTACAGTGAGTCTCAGGGAGAAAGGCCCTGAGGCTTCTGTTTATGGCTCTTGAAAGCAGTATTCCCTCTCACACTCCAAAAAATAAACTCTGACAGAACAGGCAGTGGTGCATTTCATCTAGCATCACTCTGTCCTTTTCTCTTTCCCCTAGTGTGACAAATCACTGTGTGCTTGGTGTGAGGCATGTCACGACAAGAACACGCCGCTGCTCTGCCCAAGCTGTGGTGTACTGAGGGCATCCGAAGGCTCTGCTGAGGGCAGAGGACAGCTATGCTTTCCTGTCTCCCTTAGCATTTAAAACTAGAAGGAATCTCCTTGCAGTTTTCTTGACAGAACCAAAGCACCATTCTCCAAAATACCGTTTTGGATACCTTCGGGACAGGTTGGAAGCAGCGTCCCTGCGGTTACTGCTGCGCCCGCTGTGCCTGAGCTCAGGGCCTGGCGTGCGGCTCTGGAGGAGCCAAGTCTTGTGGGGGTTGAGTGACCATTAAAAATCCCAATTGAGATGCTGTGGGTGAAACGTTAGGTTGTGTGATAAAAGCAGGTCTGCACCCCTTCCCACAGAGAGTGGCAGATGGGGTAGCCCAAATAGTACCCTGCCCCAGCTCCCGCCAGGCTTGTCCCAGGAGCCATCGGCCTGTCACAGGCCCATTCCCCACAGGCCCAGAGGATTGTGGGGAAGAATGGCAGGGCTGTCCCTGGAGAGCCTCAGCGCTCTGTTCCAGGCATGAAACCCATGAGACAGGCAACATAAGAGCAGCTTCTGGACTGGGAGTATGGGATGCATTATGGGATGCAGAGCGAAAGTGTTTGGGGACTGCGTGAGGCTTGTTTACAGGATGTTTAGGAGAGGAACCACAGACAGAGGGAGAGGTAGATTAAGGTGATTTGGGGAGGAGCATGTGTGGGGAAAATAACAGTGTAAGGGGATAAAAAGGGCTGGTCGTGTGTAAGTGGTACACTTCCCTGCCGTGCCCTAACCTGACCCTCTAGCTGTCCTCTCCTACTGGTAGACCCCACTTCTGATGCCTCTCCCGGGGGACACACACTGTCTGTTCTGTGTGGAGGGGCTGGCTCAGTCAGTGCACACGAGGAAGTGGAGCCGGGCTGCAGCCTCGGGCTTGTACATCCAGGTGCCAACAACTGAGGAGACGGGGATCCAGGGCCAGCTTACTGGGCAGGCCGAGTGTCCGAGCCCAGCGGCTGTAGGGCTGTACGTGTGTGTGCATCTGACTGCCAGCCTGCTGAGCCAGGACAGCAGCGGGAGGAGGCCATGGGTCTGCCCCTGTTTGCCTGGGTGGCGTTGTGTGTTGCTGCTGGAGAGGGCCGTCTTCAAACAGGCCTGCCCAGGAAGCAGGGAAGACAAGTCTACTCACACTGGGCTCTAGAACGATACAGAAGCACCCGAACTAATGTATTCCGAAAGAGGAGTTAAGTGTCTCTGCGATCCGTCTTGCTGTTTCTAAGAGAAGGTGACTTGTTAGGAGATACCCTTATCTCTTGTAGAGAATGGGCCACAGGATGAATTCCGTATTGTGGGAGATCAGGCAAGTCAAAAATATTCTGAGGGCTTGCTTCAGCTGTATCAATTCACAAAAATAGTGGTCTTTTTGTGGGCCTGCCTTTATTTGCAAAGTTAGCTCAGCAAGAAAGATCTGAAATTGCAGAGAACCTGAGTAGCCCTGAAGCATCTAGTTTTGCTTTCTTGAGCCATGAAACCACTTCCTTAAAATTCCTGTATTGCCAGAAGTTAATGCAATTAAACCCAGGCTTTCTGTTACAAGGAGTTACCATCAGGCACACCAGGAAGGAAGCATCGGATTATAGTCACAGCCTTAAAGTCAAAACCATCATCTGACTGGCTGTAGTGGAAATGCTTCCAGCAGTCATCCTTCCAAAAACTTGTAATGTACTTTTGTTTTCGTCCCATCAACTCTCTCATCCTCCCCATATGGATTTCACGTGATCAGAGCTTGGGCTGTAGTCTTAATGCAAGTTTGGTCCAAAGGGTGGTGGCTTCTGTGGCTACCTTGGGTCAGGTCCCAGCTAGGAAGAGCCGTGAGCCAAGTACATAGCGTTCTGCTCACAGCACACCCAGGACCACTGATTGACTCCTGTGACTGTCGCAGAGCTAGTCGCTGACGTTACCTTGCTGCTTTCCTGTTGTAATTATGTTTTGATATTAGAAGGTTTTTGGTACGGATCCTTCATTTTTATACACAGTCAATATTTTATATTTCAAGTGGGGGTTTTTTGTTTGGTTTTTTTTCTTCTGTTTATGTAAAACATCTGAAAGCTTAGAAACTGTAGAAAGACTTTGTTAAACTTGTATCTGGATGAGGAGATACTATCAGAGCATGTATTCTTTGAGAACCTGTTTATTTTCTGTAGTTTTTATTCTTACTCTTTTATTCAAACCTGACTGTGATCCTGTGGTGTTCCACATTCCTGGCTTTGTTTATTTTTGCCTAAAAGAAAGGGAAGGTTGCAGACACTATTGGGCAGGTTTGGCCGCTCTCCAGGAGCAGATGGAGTCAGCAGCCAAAAAGTACAACCGTGGCGGTAGGCCAGAAACACCATACAAGGCACGGACCCAGGGATGGTGATGCACCACAGCTGTATCCTCTCAAAGATCAATTGTTTGTGTATTTTCACTCAAAAGTGTTGTGTTTGACTTTGGGATGGGCAAGTCATGAGAGATCTGTGATTTTAACTTTGAAAATGCCTTCTACTGAAAGGATTTCTGATTTTTGTGGGTTTAGCTTGTTTAAGAGGAATTATCCTGAAGCTATTGGAAATGCTCAAATTCAGAAAAGTAAACACCTGAGAACTGAACTTTGTTGCCAAAGATGAGGAAAATATTTTTAATGTGGTTTCAATAAAATTCATATGTAATTGTGTACAGCTGAACAGTTAAGTGTTTAGAGGATTTTAAAAAAAAAAAAAGGAAAAGCCAAGATTAATGTTTGAGAATTTCTGATGTAACCCACCTCGCTATCAGCCAAGAGTTCCATCTCTGGGGGAGACCAGAGCATAGCCATGGACACCCTGTCTTTTGCAGAAGCTGCTTTTCAGTTCCTGCTGTCTTCGTAACTGGTCTGGCCATTATGTGTGACTAAAACTGACTTGATGACGTGAACTTTATCAGTATATGGGCAATGCGTTGTTTTAGGAGCTTTCCTTTAATTCCCTGGGGGGAATGTGGGAGGGAAGTATATAAAGCATCAAGTTCTTAAAATAAAGAAGTCTCTATAGGAGGGGAAGATTTTTTTTTCTGTTGCAAAAGTTTTTGGTTTTTACTCTGAATCAACAGGGATGTATTTTCTTGATATTTAGGAAGATCTTTTTATTTATTATTGAGTGGATGATAAATATGGAAAGATAGAGTGCCAAAGGGAACTTGTACAAAGTTGTAAATAACTGAATGGTAATTGAAAGAGGAACACTTTATCCGACTTCTAACAGCAGCAAATACACATCTAGAATGAAAAGGTGCTTTATTCTGCATTTTTATGTAGTGCTCTTTGATATCAGTTTATGAGGTTAAAAACGTGCTTTTACATTCATTTTAATTATTCTTAGATTAATGACATTAATCTAAGATTGGTTCATTGAACTTCATAGCACTGTGCTTTTTTTAGTAATCAGTTCTCAAAAAAATTTGTCAAAAGAATCCAAGTGAAGAATTTACTCCCCCAAAAGTAAAAATACACAACAAGAAAACGTAATGGGGTTTGTTCAGGTGGGGTGAGATCCAGTTTTTCTGTTCAGAATAGAAATACTCTCTCAGTGGAATAGATGGGGTATGCTCACTGACAGGTACTAGGTGCCTCAGGTGGAAGCCTAACGTCAGTCTTACGTCATTCCAAATGCAGGAGGCAACTGAAACCTTGCCTCAGGTGTGTTCTAGCGATAACGTGTAGTTGTTGTTGCATTAACCTAAAAAATGGCAATGGGCAGAATCTGTGCATGCGAATATACCATTTGCTTAATACATGCATCTCATGTGTAGCACATGGGAACGCTGCGTGAAGAACATGGAAAACTTCATGTTCCGTCTGTTGGGTCATTTCCACATTACATGCCTGTCATCGTTATTTTAATCACAGACACATCGTCAGCATCAGAAGATGAGGGCTCGTTACGTCGGCAAGGGCGGATCACCTCCACTCCGTTCCAGAGCCATTCCAACGTAGAGCCCTGGCTTAACCGGGTTATTCAGGGCTCCTCCACCTCATCCTCTGCATCCTCCACCTCATCTCATCCAGGAGGGAAACCTGCTGCTGCTTCCAATACTGCTACTGCCACCGCTGCTGCCACTGTGCTTGCAGATCTCATGGCACACACCCAGCTAGGTCAGTAAAGAACTGCCTGTGTGGTTGGAATAAAATCAAATTGCGAATCCCAAAGCAGGGCTAAACACAAAAGTCTTCACCAGAAGATATCTGTAATTAGCCTTAAAATGTACAATCCAGACCGGGTATGTATGATAATGTATTTAATTTAACCCAAACCAGTTGTTCATGAGATCTGAACATGCCTTGTTGGTAAAATGCTTGATTTACCAAGAAACTAAGGTTCAGTTTTACTGGATTCAAAAGCAGAATTTCAAAAGGATCATTTCTTGTGGTGCATGCTTTCCAATCTGCATGTTATTTCCCCTGGACAGTGTCAGGTTAAGGATTTCAAAGGTGACTCAATCGATAAGCACCCCAAAGACTAGAAAAGCATCCAAAATCTTTTAGGAAGTTATTAAATCAGAGGTACCAACAAAGCTAGAATTCAAGCTGAAATGTGATATTTTCTTTTTCCCCCCCTTCAATTAAAATTGAAGTCATGAATAGTCCCTTATCGTGAAACTAGAGTGAAAATACAGAAGTTCTGAGAAGTCAAAATGTAAATGTGGGTTTTGTCTCAATCTCTGTAACCCTGAAGGTGCAGAACTTCAGGTTTTGGGGTTTTTTTTTTGTCTTAAAATGCAGAGCAGCTAGTCTTGTGCTTTCGGAAGATTTGGTAGGGAGGGAGAAAAACAGTCTCTTCCACCATGGAAATAATTTTTACAGGGTCTTTGCAGTGGAGGCTGATAATGGATTTATGCGCGCACAGCAGCTCCACACTGATGTTAAACGAGGGGGAAGGACCTAGAGGATAAACAAGAACTTTGTATTTCAAATAGCCTTTTTCCCCAGAGTGATTCAGAAAAATGCAGTGAGGAATGATGTTTGTAATTCACCTGTGGGCTGTAGCATGAAGTTCTTGTGCTTCTGCTACTGCACGGTAGGCATCACAGGCGTTGTTTCAGGGTTTGGCAGTTTCAGTGCTCTACTGCCCTGACTTTTTGTCTACCTGTTTTTTTTTTATATACACTCTGCAGGTGGGTTTTTCTATTTTGTTTTGGAGAACAGGTTAGGTCAGCGGAGGAAAAACACATTGAAATGCTTTAGATTCAAACTGAGTGTACGTAGAGATGTTGGTTAACATAATTTAAGGCACAAATGTCGGGTTTTGTCTTGTGTCTCACAAAGTTATGGGCAGCATTTGGCTTTGTTCATTTTTCTGCACTTCATCAGTATTTCATCCCTAAACACAGTTAGAAAGATTTGCCTCTTTGGTTAACTTTTGTCGCATTGTTGCTAGTGAAATGATTCCTGTTTGTACAAAGCATGCCCATCTTGCTGCCTGTCAAGGAATCTAAATTTTCGTCTTCCCATTTACAAGCTTATTTATAATGAGAAATCTGCAATTTTTTTTTTTTTTTTTAAAACTTTGTGGATATAATTAAAATGGGATGTGCCTACACCTTGCTTTGAGGGCATTCTGGATTTCACAGTATAGATTTATAGGAATCATGTTTAATTCCTTAAAAATAACAAATAAACCAGGAAGGTTAGCCATAATTGTAAGTGTGATTGATAAAATACTTCATGTAGCTGTAAAAGCTTACAAGGTATGCAGAATGTAACACAGCATCCTGTTATGTCTGCTATCTCAGGCCATATAAATACATACCACATTTCACATCTAGCTTCTTAGGACCTATCCATCAGGACTATTTAATCATCGAAATAGCATGCAAAGCCAAGGTCTTACTAACAATTCAAAGTCCAGCGTTTAAGTAGCTGAATGTTGGACTGCATGCAGTGGAGTGGTTTGAAATTTCATTAATGGCAAAGAAATACACAGTTATGACATCTATGGGGAAGGAAGCTCGGGGATCATTAAGAGCTGATCTACCGAAAATATTTAAAAGGTGAAATTTCCAGTGCTTTTGGGGAAAAAAAAAAACAAAAACACCCTTTTGCATAAGAATCTTCCTCACTTCTGAAATGCTTGCCATATTCCATCAGTTTTCATTTCTAGCTTGGTAGCGTTCATGCATGTCCAGTAAAAATTCGGTTGTGACGTTTTTCATGTTGGTCCATAGTCTTCCTTGCCCACAAGAATTTGAAAACTTACTCAGTTCCTACATTGCAAACTTTTTTTGATTATCGTTAAGTACTAGTATACTTTCAAAAAGGAGCCCTTGGACTTGTCCTAGAGCAAAAAATAGGTTTGTTCACTTTCTCAGTTAATGTGCTGGCATCAGCAGTATAAAAGACATCTTATGTATTTTAAATACTATGCCTTACTAGAATGTTCTGTATATTGACTATGCACTGAATAACTATTCACAATTTAGTTATATTGGAGAATTTAAATTTAGCAGATTGCTGCCTTGCAGCTCATCTTCCCCATCTTACACTTATAATGATGAGATCATACTGAATTCCCCAGCAGCAGACTGCAGTGCTGAAGTGCAAGGCTACAGCGTTTTGTGGGCATTATTTTTCAGCTGTTTGTCTTTCACCTATAAAAGCAAAGCCAACATCTCCATGTTGTTTTGGGGGCTTTTTTATTTTTTTTAGTGTAAGATTTTCTTTAAGATGAATAAGGCTAGCAGTGGGTCTAGGGTTTTTTTCCAAGGTCACCATCTAAACTGTGGAGTATTTCCCAACTTAGCTCTTGGTGAAGTAACTGGAAAAATGGATGATCGTTATATTTGATCCACTATTTATTGAGAGACTTAAAAGTGCGATTCCTTTTCTTAAAGGGAAGCAGGATTATAAGAGTAGGTGTTTTGAACTGCTGTTTTACAGGAGTTGTAAGAGTAAAGCTTGATAGAGTAGTTTCAAGGAGTTTATTGAAGAGGAAATGCAAGAATGAAGTAGGGGCTTGTAGATCCTGTTGGGTGTTCTGACTGGGGTTGGTGCGCTCTTTTTTTTCTAGTGTCCCAATACAGTTCATTAAACTTCTAGTCCATTTTGGTTGAGTGGTTTCCTAGAGGCAAACCCATAATTCACAGCCCTCTCTCGGTCTCACGCAACTTCCTGCTAGGTAGGGACTTAAAGTCTTCATCCTGAGACTCCTCCTTGAAGACTATTTTCTCTCCAGTGCTCAGCTTTTGATTTTTCTATATCATATCCCATATGTTCTTTCTTGAGTCACTGCTCTGTTTTGCATTTATCTCTGTCTTCTAATCAATAATGGAAAGGTACTTCAGTCTAATCCAATTAACTTTATTCCTGAAGTCACAAGTCTGTTGAGCCTTATTTTTTGACTACTCACGGTCTTTCTTGCTGTGCTTTGCCACAGTATCTCTAGATGATACAGACTAATTTCATGGATTCTCGTGGGCATATATTAATACGATGCCTAAATAATTAATGAAGCTAATGTGATTTTTATCTGAGGATAAATACTGAAAATTGAACTTACTCCTTCTACATGCATAGAAAGAATTTTGCCATCTCAAGGCAGAATTGTGAGGGAGAGTCATTTCTCTGCTGTATGTAAGATAAAGTAGCTGTGGACAGCAGAGAAGTTGTTCATGAGGACCCCTGCCATTTCCCTTCTGTGGTGAGGGACATGGATTTACATGAAACCTGGCTCTGAGCTGCTTGTCAGGGATGTGAATGCTGGAGATTAGCACCTCTGTATATAGCTATTTTTTTTTGCTTGCTTTCAGTTGGGAATGATTGTTAATGGGGTTTTTTTGTGTCTTTTCTGAGCATTCTCATTTTTTTGTGTGTGATTGCTTTGAACTGTTCCCAAGTACACAGCTCTCCTGTAAATGTTCCCAAATAGCTTCTTCCTTACATTATTTTTCAGCACCTAATTGCAGAGCTTTTGTATTTCGAATACCTGCCCCACGCCTGTGGGCAGAAGACTGCTGTTTCCCAACAGAAATACGCATGGTAAAGCCTGCATCCATTCAGCATCCCAACTCCTGTACTTGGTGCGTGACTTCTGGCCTGGATGTGCACCAAGTCCCGTAGTGTGTGTCTGTCTCTTTTGTTATGTTTGTACCTGTGTGTACGTGCCTTCGCGTGTACGTTTTGAGTCACCCTAGTGTTTTGTGGTGACAACCTCATCTGCGGGAACGCCGCTTTGGGGCCTTCCACTGATGAAGCCACAGTGCAGATAGGTCCCTAAATGTAGTTTTTGCTGGTGTATTCAAGGAATGGAAGCTTCAGACACTGATAATCACTGCAGGGGTTGTGAGTTGAGGAGTATGAGTTGTGGGCTAATACTGCAGTACAGGAACCAGGTACACGTGACTGAGTCCTTTTCTGTGATGAATTTGTATACCGCCTGATACCCATGTTTTGGGACTTTGGTAAAGCTAAGGGAAATAAACAAACAAACAGAAAGCAGCTCAAAAAGTATATAGAACACAGCAAGAACATTTCAATTTACCCTGGATACGTGGGCTTACTATACGCCCTGTAAAGTGGTTATACAGATCACCTTTACACAGAGTTGTCACCTTGTCTTGTTACTGGTTCTCACCGGGCATTTGTCAGAGAGATGTCCAGAAATTGGCTCTGCAGTGGTGACTGTTGGAAAGTGTGTAATAGATTTAATTTTTCCTTCTGGTGGTCTCCTCTGAAGCTGCTTGGTGCTGTACTAGTGGCTTGTAGGTCAGCTCTGGAAAGCTGTGAACAGAGCCATGTGCACTTGTTACCGTAGTGCTGATGGCTTCCTCAGAACAGGTAGGGTAATGTCCGTCTGTCACAGCACTGCCTAGCTCTGCCCACGCTTCCTGCAGACTTTGTGACGTGCTGATGCCCTTCAGGGGTATCGCTGCAGAGCTGCATGGCCCCAAGCAGTCCCTCCAGCACAGGGCAGCAGCGTGTTCGTAAGCTCTTTCCTGTTGCACTCCTGGTTTTACTCGTAAGGATTCTGAATATTCTTGTTTTAACTTGTTCAGACACTTCTCCCGGACACTGCCATTTCCTAACCTGTGATTACATTCGAAACTGTTCCATCATCAAGTCACTGTATTGGAATGACAGTATTCCCTAAGCAATGCTCTGCAGCACAGCAGTGTGGTGCAGTTCCAAGCAATGCAGGATTTCGCCTCAAGGTTGTTACAAGGTGGTTCTCAAGCCCCTGTGAGTATGTGAGGATTTGAGAATTACCCTGCTTTCCCTCTGTAAATAACACACTCTAAAGCACTGAAGTATTTATTGCAAATACCATTAAAATGTAACAGGGTGTCGTGTCCACTCACAATGCCCCAGAAACCTGTGCTAACTCCCTCTGTTGTGAGCAGTGTGTGTAACATCTGCACCACAGGTTTTTGAGTGTTACAGGCATTCCAGCTGTTCCCAGGCGTAGATGCCCCAGTGAAGAGTATACAGTGTCTGTACCACAACATAAGCAGGAAGCTTTTAGCTCCACTGTCATTACCAGACTGCTAAAAACAGGGTAAGAAAAGCTGCAAAAGGAAAACAAGCTGCAGGTGACAGTGTTTTAAGTCAGCAGTTCCTTTCCTCTGAGGGAGTCTCTCATCTCTCAAGATGTGTTCACACCTAAATGCCACCTTAAACCTTAATTTGTGTTTCATGGCAGAAGTCATTCTCCTGTAGCCTGCAGATAAGTGCTTCGTGTTATCCTGGGGCAAAATTCCCTTCTTTTAACCTTTATGATTTTGTCCCTTTCTTTTCATAAAGGACTTGGACTCATCATTCCAGTTTTATGGTGACCCTTTAGGTGCCTGCATTTCTTCTGACAGATGTGAGACAGACTCTCTTTGTAGACTCGTGCTGTTTACTCATAGTGCACCTCCTGGCTTTCCCCTTGATGTGATGGTGTGAACCACCGCGCTCTGTCAGAATTTGTTTGGATCCCTCTGGAATAGTTCCTCTCCACCCTGGAGAGACAGCAGTTCCTTTCAGGATTCCATCCATATCTAGAAGATTTTGGTTATGGTTTCATTACAGAAATCAGAATCTTGTTAAAAACACGTGAGAAAACAGCAAAAATGCTCCAAGTGGTAACTTTGGCTATATTGATTCTTAAGACTGATGAGCTCCCATGTGTGTCTTCCATTTCTGCAGATAACCACTCTGCACCTCCAGATGTAACCACTGGCCTGGTGGATCACTTACATCATGAGCGCCCGCAGGTCGCGTCAGTACGAGGAGTTCCCAGGGACTACAACAGCAGCATTCTGGAAACGGCAGACGGTGATTGTATTATAAACCTCCTACCTTTCAGTCTCTCCCTTTAGCCTCACATTTTAGTTTTATATTTCCTGAGAGCGTTGAATTTTCATAAATCTAAACATACACATTTCTATTTAATTAAAAAATATATCATGTATAGAAATTAAAATCAACCTTCAAAGCGGTTTTGTGTTGTGATTATTTTTTGCTAGCTCTGTAAAATACTGAAAGATTCACTCATTTTTTCCAAGCATTCTCACAGTTTGAGAACTAAATGAATGTTAGGATGTAGCAAGGACCTAAACTCTTGAAAAGAACGTTCTTGAGGTCTGTATTGGGTTCTCATGAAGGAGTCAGTAGTTTGAAAAGCTAAATTAAAGTGTGAGAAGATGTCTGCATGAGCCAGGTAGCCAAGGAACACCATGGTTTTAAGACAAATAAATCCATGTCTGAAACTGTTACTGATTAAAACTGGTTTTTTTCCAAACAAGCTGCTCCTCTTGAATGACTCTTCCACCTGAAAGCTGCCCTGAGCTTAGTGTGATGTTGTCAGCAATGTGGCAGCTTGTGTTTTAGTGTAGGTTTATTAATATATGGTAAGTAATGAAATCTTTTCTGTCTGGCAGGTGTCCCAGTGAACAGCAGAGTGTCCTCTAAAATCCAGCAGCTTCTAAATACCTTGAAAAGACCAAAGCGCCCACCTTTGAAAGAGTTTTTTGTGGATGATTTTGAAGAACTGCTAGAAGGTTAACTTTTTCAAATGTATTTTCCCTCATTGTGTGAGCGGTTTTTTTTAGCGGTTCACAGAAGAACTGATACATCTTAGCAAGTGTTTTCTTTTTCTCTTTCCAACAGAAAACAAATCATGGTGGAGTTCTTATATTAAAGAGGGAAAGGTCATATGCTAGTGAACTGGTGAAACACAATCTTCAACTCAACCCTCCTACTCAGTGTACTTTTCTCTGCCCTCCTCCCTTGATTTGGAAACAATTTAGCCCAGTTTGAACAGTGTGAGGAGCCAGAGAATATTAAAAACGATGATTTACAGATATTTAGAGAAGTTCTATTCACATCTTTGTCAAGAACTTCATTGGTGCATCCAGAAATTTTCACATCTGATGATGGTCCCACCATCACTTTTTGCCTCAGAGATTCTGAACTCCGCCCTGTGATAATCAGTGAATGTATAGAGGCTACTCCTTGGACTAAGGCAGGGAATACCTAAGTGTAACTGATGGGAGACCTCTGGAAGCCTCTGACCATCCTGCTGCTCGGACCAGGTCTGAGAGATCCTCCTGTTTAGGGCTGTGTCCGGTACGGTTCTGAGCATCTCCAAACATGGAGATTCCATGGCCTCTCTGGCTGCTCATGTTCAGCTGCTTGTCCACAAGCACCTCCACATCCTGCTCTGCAAAACTCCTTTGGACGTGGTCAGTGTCCAAATACAGATAGATGAAAAAATTATTTGCTAGTAACTGGAGTTTGTTATGATAAAATTGTTTGCATGACTGTTAATGTCTTTTTCATGAAATCCAGAAGCTCCCATTATTTTAGAGGTTGACAACTAAACGCTTTGAGTGCGCTGTGCAGCCTGTCTTGTCTGTGCACTGCGTGAAAGGATGGTGCTCGTACACGCTCTGCAGACACTGCTCAGCCAAGAAACACTGTTTTCTTCTCGGCGTGCATGTGTCCAGGCAGGAAGAAAAGCATCTTGAACAAATGTAGAAGTTGCTTAGCGATATGTAGCTGCCTTTAAGACCAGCTGCATCAGCTAATCTTGGAGAATGATTTTTGTACTGTTCTCGTAGCCTTAAATGAAAATTTTGTGCTCGGTGTGACATTTTTGAGCAGCTGCTACTGGATTCCCTGTTAGTATTTGTTTGACACTTTAAGATGTGACCTGATGGCAGTCTTAGGCTTTTGCCTAAGATTTCTCAGGCAAACCTTTGTGGAGGTGCCTTGCATGTATGTCACTGTGGAGAAGAGCTTTGTTGACAGTGTCATTTTAGTTAGTGCTAAATCCGACGATGACTTTTTGCTGACTGAGATCAAGGTGCTTCCCCTTGAGCACTTGGGGCAGGATTTTAACAGCCAGCTACTCCAGAGAGGAAATGGCATACCAACCCTGCAGTGCTCCACAGTTGAGAGGGGTGACCCAGATACCAAACAAAATATTCTGTGAGCAGTGTGGTTTTAGTTGTAGATAATCCATACCAGGAGCATTTCACCTGGCTTATTTAAAAACACATTGTTAAAGAGCTATAGTGTCATCCTCCATCACCAGCTGAGAACGAGGGAATGAGGTGCAGCAAAAATAAATGTCCAGTTGTCACCGAAACCATCTCTCTGGTAGGCTTTCATTTCAAGAGATGTGCAGAAAAAACAGCAGAAAATACCATCTTTCCAAAGCAGAGAAACAGAGTGAACTAGGGCTTCAAATTCAGTTCCTGTTTGCCCGGTCCTTTGAATAATGTGGAATCAGAACTCCAAAGTGATGGTAATTATTTTTTTGTGAAGCCAACAGTTGATTAGCATTGCACCCTCATAAAGCAGAGTAGTAGTGGTAGCTGTGAGGAAAAAGGAGGTGAGAACAGTTCATAGAATAGCCTGTTATGTGTAACTTGCACATTTAGTAAGGACTGACCTTTGCCTGCTCTGGTTTTAGTGCAACAGCCTGACCCAAACCAACCAAAGCCTGAAGGAAATCAAATGAATGTACTTAAAGGTGAACCCTTAGGTGTGGTAACCAACTGGCCTCCCTCTCTGCTGGCTGCCCTGCAGCGCTGGGGAACCACCCAGCCGAAGGCCCCGTGTCTGACTGCGTTGGATACCACCGGGAAAGCCGTCTATACGCTTACCTACGGTAGGTCCTGGTGATAACCCTGGGGAAGAATTACGTGTTCGTCGTGGAATGGACAATTTGCTTTACTTAAGAGGAGCTGACTGTGCTCAGGGCAGATACTTTGAGGGAGTTATTTGAATGCAAATTATTAATTCATTGTGTATGAGAAAAATTTTGAAGAAAGTGAATGAAGGGAAAACGTATATGGTATGGATTCTTTACGGGTGGCTGTTTGTAAAAGTCAAACGACTGTGGGGTTTTGTCTTCAAGGAACACTGAAAATAGCCTGCTGTAAAATAGGAGGAAGAAACAGATGACTAATAATGTACCCTTCGGATTCCCAGAGTAGATACTCGGTTTTAGCGTGTTCTTGCATGTCTTGACAGAGAAGACTTGTACTTCAGGAACATCTTAAGGATGTTACTGTGTGAAGTGAAACTCACCTGTATCAATGAACTAGAACTATTTATAGTAATTGCATTTTTTTGGAAGATAATTGTGTCCCCCATGCCAGTTAACTGCAGCATTTCAGCACATAATATGTTGGAATGTTAAAATTTCTTGTTTGCGTTCTTTACAGATGAAGTGTGCGTACAGGAAATGTAACTTAGCAGCTGCGTTAGTTTCATTACTTTGCAGTGGAGCTTTGAGAATTGTTTAGAATACTGTGTTTAGTTTTATGTTAAAAAAAAAGAAAGGAAAGCTAACAAGAAGCCAGGCTCTGAATTGGAGACTCTGCCAGGTGCAGTGAATGTGCTTCAGCCCTGTCTACCTTCTTTAATATAATTGGAAATAACATAGAAAAAAAGCTTGTTGAATTGAAGAGTTTGAGACTGAAACACACAAAACTGACGGTTGCTGGTTGGTCTCGAAGCATTGAGTGTGGATGTCAGTCCAGAACGTGGATCCTATACTAGAAAGCAGAGCTCCAGATGCATCCTGTTTGCCACGGGATGCTGCTTCGCGGGATTTTTGCTTTGATGTACCATTTGCAGTGGAAGAGTTTTGCTGTTGCTGATTTTTCTTAGGAGCAGGTTTTTTTTCTAGAAAAGGTCTTTTCTTTTTTTGGAGGCTAAAAATTAAAGTATTATTTTTATATTGTGTCAAATAAGTAGTTAGATTCTTGTCTTTGTATTTAATAGCTGGGGATAATTTTTTGTTCTGAATTATTGAGGGCTGTATAGGGGACTACTGAGCACTGAACTGGCGTTTCACAAAGCCAGATACTGTGGCATTTATTCCTACCCTTTGTTTCTTAAATTTCAGGTACTTTTTGGTCCAGCTTAGGATTTCTCTTTTTATCCCAGGCAGTTTCCTTTTCCTAAGAGCCCTTAGGAAGAGTCTTCTTAAGTGCCTTTTGGAAATGCAGTTAGGTTGTATCAACCAGACTGTGTGTGCGCGCACAGGCACCGACACACTGGATGAACTCAGTAGGTTTGTGAGGTGGGACTGAATTCACCACGGCAGTTTTCCTCAGTTACTTGCTGATGTGCCTGCTGACCCTGTTCTAATACTACTGACTTGCCTAGTGAGTGTATAAGGCACTGAGATTGCCAATTAAGCATGAACATTTCAGTCTCTATTTTTTTAATTTGTGTATTGTCTTCTTTTCCTCTAGGCAAGCTGTGGAGTCGAAGCTTGAAGTTAGCGTATACCCTGCTAAACAAACTAACCACTAAGAATGAACCACTGCTGAAGCCTGGAGACCGGGTAGGCTGCTCTTTGAAATGGTCTCTGGATAAAACAGAACAGCTTCAGCTAAAGAAAACCTTGTAATATTGTGGCTTGTAATAGCATATTGGAACAGTAACACTAATGTTGTGACTAGGTTAAACGTAGAATCACAGAATGGTTTGGGTTGGAAGGGACCTTAAAGATCATCTAGTTCCAACCCCCCCGCCATGGGCAGGGACACCTTCCACTAGACCAGGTTGCTCAAAGCCTCATCCAGCCTGGCCTTGGACACTTCCAGGGATGGGGCATCCACAGCTTCTCTGGGCAACCTGTGCCAGTGCCTCACCACCCTCTCCAGGAAGAACTTCTTCCTGATATCTAATCTAAACCTCCCCACTTTCCATTTGTACCCGTTACCCCTTGTCCTGTCACTACAGGCCCTTGTAAAAAGTTCCTTTCCAGCATCCTTGTAGGCCCAACATGAACCTGAATGTTGTTGTGAAGTTTTTTTTTCCCCACCAATTAAAAAGCAGCCCTCCCTCCCCAAATGATGACAAAACCCACTTACTGTTGCTTTAATATATTTTTGTAGGTAGCTCTAGTATTTCCTAATAGTGATCCAGTTATGTTTATGGTGGCGTTTTATGGATGTCTCCTGGCAGAGCTTATTCCTGTCCCAATAGAAGTTCCACTAACAAGAAAGGTAAGCAGATGCATTCATCATTTTCATGGCTTCATAAATAAAGGCGTGGCTGTGCCTAAATCCTATAGTCCTTATTAGTATTTAGTTAGGGAAGGGGGGAAATAGTATGAAGCTAGTAAGTTAACTGTCTTAGAGTATGTATGTAACTGTATAAATTAATTGAATTTGTTATTTTTGAAAAGATGTGTGAAAGTATTTCTTAAAATGCAACACAGAACTGCTGTCTCAGCTCTCATGCTGAGTAATTTCATGCACAGGCAGGTAGAGACATGATAACTACTGGGAATATTGCTATAATCCCACAGACATTGAGACTATTATAGAAGAGCCGAAAAGCTACAGGCTCTACTCTTCAGTGCCTCAGGACTCACACAGCATCAAACCACCTCTCTGTTTTACCAGCACTTACAAACGTCCCTGTTGAGGTGGAGAGGGATGCACGGTCCTTGCTTTGCAGAATACTTTGCTACCATTGCTTGCCAGATCTACTGCCAAATCTAACTTCCTTGGCACTAAGCAAAACTGAGCCTTTTGAGCGTAGACTTCAGTCTTTTGTCTTATGGGCTCGAAGTTTTGGTTTTTTTCCAGTGATATGAATTGGCTTAATATTCTCTAAACATGGAAAAGTTACAGTAAACTGTACAAAAGCTTCATTATATGTGAGATTGCTATAACATGGTTTCTCTATAGGATGCTGGCAGCCAGCAGATTGGATTTCTTTTGGGCAGCTGTGGAGTGACACTAGCTTTAACCACTGATGCCTGTCAAAAAGGCCTTCCTAAAGCTCAGACGGGCGAGGTGGTTACCTTCAAAGGTACGGCTTTAAGCTACTCAAATTGATTTATAGGATGAAGAGTGGGTGTAGCCATTGCTGCTATTAAACAATGACCTGGGAGTTTGCTTGCATGATCCTGGCTCATATATCTAGAGCTGCCTTCATTGTCAAGACAGTACTTAGTGCTGCTTCTTCCTGTCGGGGAAAGATGCTGCAGTTTACGCTTCCCTCCTGTTGTTACCTCTGAATACTGGAAAAAGAAACCTGATTTTTGGGAACTCTAATGACAACTTCTCTTTTCATTCTGAAGGCTGGCCTCGTCTCATTTGGTTTGTGATTGATGGGAAGCATCTGGCAAAACCAACTAAGGACTGGCATCCGCAAGTTCGGGACGCCACTGCTGAGATTGCTTATATTGAGGTGATCCAGTATAATATACCTAACTTCCTCTACTGTAGTTTATATCACAGCATGTTTTCTTCCTTTAATCTCTTGATGCAATAAAAGAGGAGACTGCAGAATTTCTAACTGTGGAACCAGAAGGTTTCTGTCAAGGTTGCCAGGCAAGCTGTCATTTGAGTGGTTATGCTTTAGCAGATTGAAGATGGGGATAATTTGTACTTTTGGATCCATGGGATAATTTGTTTAATTGGGGTAGAGAAAAAGTCACGTTTCGTGTGATAGTAGTGTACTCTGTGAACATAAATGTGTCTTATACACTGTTTTTTTTATTTTTTTAAAAAGGTCTGCTTCATTTTGATAATAAAATATTCTTTCAGCTCACTACTGTAAATATTCTAGATTTTGTTGTTAATCTAATGCTTGTGTAAACTTTCTCTTTTCAGTACAAAACAAGCAAAGAGGGCAGCACAATGGGCATTACTATATCTCATGCTTCCATGCTGGCACACTGTCATGCATTGACTCAGGCATGTGGTTATTCAGAAGGTAAGTTAGATAGGCATAGCTTGAACAGGATACTCATAGCTTTGAATATTCAGACAATTTATGTTGCAAAATCATGTTTACTGTCTTAACATTAGCTAAGCAGTGGTAGCTTTAACTGCAAAGGGAAAAAGAAACTTCCCCATTCATAGTCAGTCTCATACTTGAAGGAAAGTAAAAAGCAACTTGTGAAATCATAATCAATATGTGCTAAAGTTTTTTTAACATAAGATCCTTATTAATTTTATTCAAGGGTTTGGATTTTTCAACCTTCATAAATATGTTAGTTGGTGGGAAGAGCTGTACTGATTTTTCACTGTAGAATACAGCTTTGCTACGAACCTGTTTTGCCCTCCCTAATGCCTTTTGAACAGACTGACCACTTTATGTAATCATAAGGCATCTGGTTTGAGATGCCCACATGCAGAGTTAGAGAAGTTCACCCAGCCGAAGTTGAGGGAGCTTTCTTAGACTGATCCTAAAGGCCATTTGCATAGCATTGATCTCTTTTAAGAGCTTTGGATAACAGCAGTTCCAGGTGGAGCTGCTCACACAGTGCAGAGTGTTGTGCCATGCAGACAGGCTGGCATCAGTTGTGCAGCTGATGGAGATATTATCTTTCAGGAGATAGAGTTGGAGTTATTGACCAAAGGAAAGGTCTTTTGAAGTCTTGAAACCTGGGAATGACTATGTGAGACATAATAGCATCATAGTCCTTATAATTCTTCTACTTAGTGGTTCCGAGGAGTGTGACACACAGCTAGGAGTCTTTATCCTCGATGGCTGTGCTCGCACTGGCCTGCCTTCACAACCTGACTTCCTGGGGCATTAAGTTGAAGCAGAAGTTACTTTGCTGTAAATTACCTGGCCCATGTATCCTGACTCAGATCCAAGATCCTCATAAGAATCATAAGCAGCAAAGAGAGATAGTGATATAATGGTAACTGCCAGAGCAAAGAGGACAAGAGGGTTTTTCACAGACCCACCCAGATACCAGCTGCCTTAGGGTGCCTGGCACACTGAACTCTGACAGGATCTGAAGAATGCATCCAGTTCTGTGAACATCTCTAGGGATCATAGAATCACAGAATGGTTTGGGTTAGAAAGGACCTTAAAGCCCATCTAGTTCCAACCCCCCTGCCATGGGCAGGGACACCTTCCACTAGACCAGGTTGCTCCAAGCCTCATCCAGCCTGGCCTTGGACACTTCCAGGGATGGGGCATCCACAGCTTCTCTGGGCAACCTGTGCCAGTGCCTCCCCACCCTCTCCAGGAAGAACTTTTTCCTGATATCTAATCTAAATCTCCCCACCTTCAATTTAAACCCGTTACCCCTTGTCCTGTCACTACAGGCCCTTGTAAAAAGTCCCCCCAGCTTCCTTGTAGCCCCTTCAGGTACTGGAAGGCTGCAATAAGGTCTCCCTGGGGCCTTCTCTTCGCCAGGCTGAACAAGCCCAACTCTCTCAGCCTTGTATCAGCCCTCCTGCTGGCCACAGAGCCCTTGCTCCCAGAAGAACATTTTGCGTATCTTGCCTAGTCTGTCTACCTAGAGTGTCAGAACAGAGGTGTTCAGTTTTCTGCAGTTCACATAAAAGCTTGGACATTGAATCCACACAGGAAGGGCTCCCTTTCCCATATTTTGCTATGAAGTGCAGAGCTTTTGCTCAGTCTTTCTTTGGTGGCAGGAGGAAGCTCTGAATGTGAGTTTAAGTTCTGTAAGAATGACTGAACCACCAGCTTTGTTGGTTGTAAGAGCTGCTGGGAGGAATAAGGAAAATGAAACAGGATCGGAGCCACGTGCTACATGATGGCTGAAATTCTTATCAGCAGACTGGAAAGGTGTCTGCTTCCTCATTGTGAGAGCTTTGGTGTACTGAGAAGAGGTGGTTGCTGAACTGCATGAGATGGCTCTTCCCTTCACCTTTTGATTGACCATTAACCAAAACCTTTTCCCCTTGAAATCTCTTTGATGGAAGAATCTCATGGTTTGAGTAGTTTGTATCCCATAATGTGGTAGTGTGCACTGATGTATCTTGGGACATGCAGAATCACAGTGGTGGAGGTTGGAAGGGGCCTCCAGAGGTCATCTGGTCCAGCCCTTCAGCTCAAGCAGGGCCACCTAGAGCCCATGGCCCAGGACCGTCTCCAGGTGCTTTTCAGAATCTCCAAGGATGGAAACTCCATGACATCTCTGGGCAACTTTTTCCAGTGCTGTCACCCCTTCCTAAAGGTTTTCCAGGTGCTCCTGTCCCCTAATCATCCTTGTGACCCTTCACTGGACTCACTTCAGTAGCTCCATCTCTCTCATACTGGAGAGCCCTGAAACGGTCACGGTACTGCAGGCTGCGGCCCTCGGCAGTGGCGAGCAGAGAATGATCACCGCCACGGGCCTGCTGCTGACACCCCGCCCAGCGCACCGTTAGCCTGCCTTGCACACGGCCACTGTGAGCCCCAGGGCCCTTTGTTGAATCTATTGTTAAATCGTTGAATCTGTTTTTTTAAAATCACTTAAGATGTTCAAATTTCGTAAAGAAGACATTGAAGAAAATTTAGTACAGACATGGTAGTATTTCTCACTAAAGTTAATTCTTTCAGATACAGCTGAACTTTTTCAGTTCAGCTGTGAAAGTTTGCATCAAAACTAAACTTTCAGTCTCGCAAAGTTCATTGGCAAATATACACATGGAAGTGGCGAGTCCAGAGGAGGCCATGAAGATGCTCCAAGGGCTGGAACACCTCTGCCGTGGGGACAGGCTGGGAGAGTTGGGCTTATTCAGCCTGGAGAAGAGAAGGCTCCAAGGAGACCTCATTGCAGCTTTCCAGTGGCTGAAGGGGCTACAAGGAAGCTGGGGGGGAACTTTTTACAAGGGCCTGTAGTGACAGGACAAGGGGTAACGGGTTAAAATTGAAACTGGGGAGATTTAGATTTAGATATCAGGAAGAAATTCTTCCCGGAGAGGGTGGTGAGGCACTGGCACAGGTTGCCCAAAGAAGCTGTGGATGCTGCATCCCTGGAAGTGTCCAACCCGGGCGGGATGAGGCTTTGAGCAACCTGGTCTAGTGGAGGGTGTCCCTGCCCATGGCAGGGGGGTTGGAACTAGATGGTCTGTAAGGTCCAGCCCAATCCATTCTATGATTCTGTGATTCTATAAATACCTTAAAATACTTAATATGTACCCATAATGTAAAGGTGATTGTTGTGAGTAAAATAAGACACTTTCAGCTTAAGCAGACTGTTGTAGAAAAGAAGACAAGGCACATAGCTTTGATTTCTTAGTGGTGTTGGAAGTTTTGTAGTTGCTTTAACAAATATTTTGAGTTCTTAGATATTTTCATAAATATGTTTCTTAATTCTGATAGTTTTTCCTTCACTTCCAGCTGAAACACTAACAAATGTTTTGGATTTCAAGAGAGATGCTGGCCTTTGGCATGGAGTCTTAACGGTGAGTAATTTGAATGAATGAAAAAAGCCTGCAGGAGGTTTCCTCTCTGAGGTGTCAAGTGGTGGTATCAGAATGGGGTCATAAACACTTTCCAACTGTTTATGTTTCAATATTGATGTTTTTCAGAATAAAGTGTTACTTTTTCAGTAACAGACTGCAGAGGTATAGCTTACATTTTTACTGACTGTAGATGTAGTTTTGTCTAACAGTTAAGTGTAGGTGTTACACTGTAGCTGTTGTGATTATTTTTTTTAAGTATTGATACATGCTGCGTATTCTTTGATCCACCTGAAAATTTATTTTTTCATATTTTTCTCACAGAGTGTTATGAACAGGATGCATGTCATCAGTATTCCCTATGCATTAATGAAGGTTAATCCACTTTCCTGGATACAGAAAGTCTGCTCATACAAAGGTAACTTTAAAGTATTTTTGCTTAACCCATCTCTTCTTGGATGATTTAATAATCAATAAATACATTTGTTTGTGTAAAATGTCTGCTCTAGCTGAGGTCACTGCTGTCTTATCCAGCTGACTTTCTTTGCCACAGCTTTAGCAATCGGGTACTCCTTCCAGTATTACGGTTTCTTGCCTTGGTGTTTGAATTTATAGGAAATACCTAAATGTTGTCATCAAGTCCATCTGGAGACACTGGGCATATATGTGTCATAGTAGTTAAATAGTTGGCATTTGTATTTGCTTTCCGTTTGTAATTTGTTTCATAGATTTCTGTAAATACACAAAAATATGTATAGAATTTATAATTTGTCATTATTTTGTTCTGCACAGAGCCCATAATTATTTTTTTCTTTTCAGCCCGTGTAGCAGTAGTAAAATCACGTGATATGCACTGGTCACTTTTGGCTCAGAGGGATCAGAGAGATGTCAGTCTGAGCTCTTTACGGATGTTAATAGTGGCAGATGGAGCTAATCCATGTGAGTATGGGGGCATTTCCTGAGTGTCAGTGCAACATGAACACAGTGCACACCGTAAATCACAGAAGTATGTGCTGCAGGAGCCTGGCAGCGCTGGCTATAGTTCATCTTGTGCAAAACAGAGACAGCAGCAGTATGTCTTTGCCAAGGACACTGGAGCAAGACTTTCATAGGAAATGTTCTGAAAGATCTATTTATATAAAGAACAGTTGGCAATGTGATTCGAAAGAGGCTTTTAAAATTTGAAGTAAATCACAATGCCAGTTTCCAAGTAGTTGCTTATGTAATGCACGTAGACATAAAATCTTTGACTTGCAGCTTGTCTGATTCTGTACATGCCCCTCGGGCTTGTCTCAGTCATGTGCAAGGACATAAAACTGGGAACAGTCACAGCCTTAACTCAGAACCGTGACTGCTGTTACCTAGAGCATGCGGTAGATTCTTGCCTTTTTCTGTCAGTCACGTCATGGTGGTGGTTTACAGTAACCTGAGAAAGCAGCTGGGAGGTTTTTTTGCAAGACAAGAATATACCTTAGTTGCTTAATTTTGCTGTTCTTGTACACCAGAAAATCCATATTACTTCAGATTCCTTGGAGTTGCGTGATGAGAAGTCAGCAAGTGATGAAAGATGAAAGCTTGAAATGGTCTTGCTAAGATTCTATTTGTTGTAAGCACTGTTTTGGAGCTAATGCTGAGAAAGTCAGCCCTTTTTGTTCTGTAGCAAAATGCTATTTGTATGCTAGTGATGCCACGGCTTTTTCATTGCTGTTTGCGCTTCTTAGCTATATTTAGCTATGCAGATTCATGTTTTAACTTCATCTCTTCATCAGTGCTGTGCTCTTACATGAATTGAGGTGAAATCATACCTAGGATGGGGTGGAGTCAGTGAAGTTTGCCGGTTTGCCTTACGTGCTGCAGTTGCACACTTGTAAAATGCAAAGCTGCAGGTGATGAGGTGTCCTCTTGCATTTCGGGCTGAGAGCTAAAGGCCAGGTAGAGTTCTGAACTGAAGGTATGACAGAAGCATTTGATATTAATTTCTAAAAGCTTTGGTTCTGTGACCTGTGTAAAAACCACTATATAGGAGCCATATAGGAAGCCAAAAGGTACAGTTACCTTTAGTGACAAAATAATCTGATTGCTGAAGGACTTCCTGTGATATTAAATCTTAGGGAGTGCTGCCAGAGAGAGATTATGCAATTGTGAATTTCATTCCCTGAATGATTGTTAACTACTGGGAGTTTTTTCTTGAAACCTAACATCTAATAATAGGCTGGAATGTCTTTTAGGCAGTTGGAAAACAGAATGTTTTTGTGCACGGATGCAACCGTATTTGTGTAGCTGAGCTAAGAGTAAGCCTGGACTTTGAAATTCTGCAGCTGAAGCAAGCTTTCCTGTCCTTGACAAAGTGTTTCCGATTGTGTGATTGTTCTTTCTAGGGTCAATATCTTCCTGTGACGCATTCCTGAATGTGTTTCAGTCCAGAGGTTTGAGACCAGAAGTAATCTGTCCCTGTGCTAGCTCTTCAGAGGCACTAACTGTCGCTATTCGCAGGTAAATCTCTCTTCTGAGAATGGAACAGAAGCGTTTCTTCACTACTGAAATGTATCTTGTGTTAAAACGGTAGTCAGGAAAGACGATTACCCACAAAAAGATGCCCAAAGACCTAGACAGAGGAAGTCTGAGGTTCAGACTGAAGGTACCACCTTCACTGAAGGATGGGTGGTTTTTTTGTTGTTGTCTTTAAAAAGTTGAATATTTTCTTATAAGTAGTCAGCCATAAGGGGTGGGGGGTTGATATATGGGTTTTTTACTGCTTAGGAAAACGTGGTCTCACCCTCACTGATGTTGCTGGAGGACCTTTATAAAATGACCCCAGAATTAAGACTGTTGCTTACTTCGGATGAAGAATATGCTGAATCTTCCAGTAATTGTGTATATACAGTGTCTGGTAAATGGGGAGCTAAAGAAAGAAAAAAAATATTTGTAGCTGGTCTGAAAAATACCATTGAATTTCTGAAGCTGACAAGGGATGCTTGGAAAAACAGGAAACACATTGGTTATGAGTAGATGTATGGATGGAATATGCTGGAATTTTTTGACAGTGGTTTTGATCAAAATGTGCTTCTTCGGAAAAATCAGTTTCAGGAACACTTGGAACAAAAACGTTTGAGGTTTTTAAGACTGCTTTTTCTGGTGAGAGAACTGACATTTCCCAGTTTTAAAGAAACACACTTAAAGAACTGTTTTCTACAAGGGCACCTGGAATCTTTTGTTCTGTCCGTCTTGAAAGTTGAACAGTTACACAAAATGGAGTTGTTGGTCCTCAGTCAATTCTGCTCAGAGTAAGAAGTGTCCAGGCCTCCAGACACTTGCTAATTTTTCCTGGTGTTCAGAAAATTTGGCCTTTGAATACCTAGTCCTGACACTTCTTTGCCCGCACTGAAACTAAATCCTCTGTGTAACATTTTAGAGTGGGAGGAAGCTGTGTGATGTTTTGTTGTAGCTCTTTTTTCATCTGGTTAAAATATATTACCAGTCTTGACCACCTGTTCCTTTAAAATGAGAAACCGTTCCTTCTCTTTCCTTTAGCAAGCCTGAGAGACTGGCACAATGGTTTTGATGACCATGTTGCCGTTGGTCTGTTGGTTCATACCTGATTTGACTTTCTATTTTTCAGACCTCCAGAACTGGGTGGGCCTCCTCCAGGAAAAGCAGTGTTGTCTATGAATTGTCTGAGTTTCGGCGTGATAAGGGTGGACACAGAAGAGAAGTTGTCGGTGTTAACTGTACAGGATGTCGGTCAGATTATGCCTGGAGGTAGGAAAGCATTTCACGTAGGTTTAAGCATACTCCACATACGTTATCCGTGTTGCTATATTTGTACTGGTGAAATAAATAAAAATGTCAAATGATAAATACCTTCAAGGTAGTACGACTTACGTTTTGATGCATTACCTAAGCATACGACGATTAAGTAATGTCTCAATGTTTTCAGTAGAGATTAATCAGCAATAAATGAATGGACCAGCTTTTGGCTGGTCGGCAGGGTTGTGTTACTGTTCACTTGTTAGCATTAGTGCTGACTGGCGTACAGCTACGTAATAACAAATACAGCAGAACAAAACAAAGCGTGAAGCATAGTAGGAAGTACTGTCTTTTTTCCAGGACTAATGGTCCCCATGTTAGAATAAAATAGAACAGACTATTTCGGTTGGGAGGGACCTACAATGATCATCTAGTCCAACTGCAGCACCAATTCAGGGCTCACCTAAAGCTACTGCATGTTGTTAGGGTCATTGTCCACATCTCTTCAACACTGACAGGTTTGGGACATCAACCACCTCTCTTGGAAGCCAGTTCCAAGGTTTGACCATCCTCTCAGTAAAGAAGTGCTTCCTAATGTCCAGTCTGAACTTCCCCTGGTGCAGCTCTGAGCCATTCCCACATGCCCTGCCTCTGGATCCCAGGGAAAAGAGATCAGTCTCCACATCCCCTTCTCAGCTGCAGAGAGCCATGAGGCGGCCCCTCAGCCTCCTTTTCTGCAAACAAGACAAACCCAGAGTCCTCGGCTGCTCCTCAGAGGACATGCCTTCCAGCCCCTTTGCCAGCTTTGTTGCCCTCCCCTGGACACATTCATGTAGCTGGGATCAGAGACATGGTGGGATATGGTCTCTTCAGGAGGGACAGGACGGGGAGCTGCCCTTCATGTGAGGGAACAGTTGGAATGCATGGAGCTCATTTGAGGATAGTTGAGGAGCCAACTGAGAGCTTATAGATAAGGGCCAAAGAGCAGTATGGGTGACCTTGTAGTGGGTTTCTGCTATACTGCCTGACCAGGAAGGACAAGCGCACGAGGCCTTCTGCAGACAGCTAGAAGCAGCCTCAGGTTTGTAGGCCCCGCTCCTCATGGGGGACCTCAGCCAACTCTGTGTGTGCTGGAGGTAGAACATGACAGGGCATAAGCAGTCCAGGAGGTTCCTGGAGAGCATCAGTGGCAATTTCCTGACCCAAGTGATAGAGGAGTCAATGAAGAAAGTCTTTGCTGGACCTCATACTCACAAATGAGGAGGCACTTATTAGGGATGTGAAGGTTGAAGGCCAAAGTGGCAGTGACATAGTAGAACTCAAGATCCTGAGAGATTGGGGCAGGACAAAAGCAAGATCACAACACTGCACTTCAGGAGAGCAGACTTCAGCCTCTTCAGGGACCTGCTTGGTAGAGTCCCATGGGCTGAGGCCCTGGAGGGTCAAAGAGCCCAGGAAAACTGGTTAGTATTCAAGCTGTCTTCCGAATAGCTTCAGCTGAATGTTCAAGCTCAGGTTGTTGAATTTTTCTGCAAAGACACAGAAAATGGTCAGCTGTGACTGGCTTCTGTGTCTCAACAGAATGGTTATTTTGCCACTTCACCTAGAACACAGGTGGCATGGACTGTTACTGGTTCAGCTGTTCACACTACTGATGTCCCCTTGAAACCCCACTGACACTTAGGTGTACTCTCAGTCTTCTACTTGGGTTATGGGTTAGTGACAGGAACACGGAGAGAACAAGTTTGCATGCCCTTTAGGTAGTGATGGATCCCTTGGTGAACTGACTGAAGCTGAACTTGATGTTGGTCTGGTTTTTGAGAGTTCATAAAAATTGATTCAGGATCAATTAAAATCTTTCTTTGGATCAGTTTATCACATGGAGATCCTTCTGGCTTTGCTGTAGGCTTGCTGTCTGGGCAGAGTGTGCTTGACTAGATTAAGGCTCAAAGCAGCCTACATTTGTGCTGCACCTTAAGCTACTCTTCATATTCAACTATTACAGCTGTAAGTCCACTTGGTTAATCCTCCGTAGTGCGTTTGCTCAGTGACAGGTTCAAGTCCGCCTTAGGATGTTGGAAGAATTACCTGCGTGTTTGTGGGTAAGGAATTTCATCTTCCATGTCCTTGCGAAATGCTAATTGGGTAGCGAGAGGGATCTCTGACAAAACTGTCCTTTGTCAGATGCCTTGGAGCATTGTCTGGCAAATCTAACGGACCTTTGTGGTTTAGGGTGCCACTGACAGACAGCTGACAACACTACCATGACTTTCTACATTAGTAAGAAACATGGAGTGACTTCTGTGATTGTGTGAGGGTAAAACAGTTAAGTGTACATCCATTTAGTGCGTTGAAGTGATACGACTTGTAATCAATGCCTAATGCTATTTTGAAATATAAAAGTAAGTGGCAAAAATAGAACTGTGGCAAAAAAGCAGAAGTTGGGCAACTTAATGAATTAACTTTTAAAACTCTAGTAGGCACTGGGCTTTTAGTATCTGGGACAGATTACTTCAATTTGACCAAAGATAAAAATTCCAGGTCTGAAAGTTAAACCATGACAGCATTTTAGCAGAAATTGCTCCGTACATGTTAAGTTAGAGCATTCATGATCAAATGCTTTCTAGAGCATAATCAAATGACTTTGTTCCCTGTGACTGTCTCCTTAAAAAAAAAAAAAAAAAAAAAAAGCTTCCAGAGTGGGAAGAAAGTAGAAAGGCAAGCAGTTACTTATAGATGTGTGCTAAACAAAAAGAAATTAATGACTGACTTATTTTCAAATGAGTCTGCATGTACATTCTAACAGTGGATATACTTGTGCCTTACCTTTTAAGATTTATCCTTTTTCCTGTGTAGTATTCATGGAGGATGGGCTCTGTCCCTTCTCACTTGGTGTTTGGCATACAGGAGAGAACATACCACCATTTCCTTTCCTGTTAGTTGCCCTCTTCAATTATTCTGTTGACTATGAAGTCATGCTCTTTGTCTGGTTTGGGTTTTGGGGTTTTTTTTGCCTTTCCTTAGACTGCTGTGCTTTCACCAAAGACCTAATTTGAGTCAGATGCCATCCCTGAAGGCTTTGTTCCATCTCTTGATCCTCACTGAATACATTTAAGTCTTGGAAGTGACTACATGCCATAGCCTTTCAAACATCAATCGACATAAGATCTCACATTCCTGAATTTTGTTTGGTCAGATGTGCTGTGAAAGTAGCATCCTAGCCAAGAGCTAGTAGTCATGCTGAGGCTTGTTCAGTCAAACCAGATGGTTTTGCTCTCCTTGCCCTTGACGATCCCTGGTGTACTTTATTCAGGAACCAACTGGTTAAAAAGTCATCAATTTGCCCTCCTTTTCTTCACATCTTGCTATTTGTTCTGAGACACTGGGACCACCTGCTCGGGATTCAACAGACCCCTCAGCACCAGGATCATGTCATACGTCACTGCTGTTTAACCTATAGGCCACTCCTGGTGCCACATTCTCTTCGGTTGCCTTGGCTATTCATTTTCATGATCCACTGTGAATCCACTCACAAGAGCCACCAGGGAAATGCAAGCATCCATGAAGAAATCTTCCCATCGAAGACAGCATGGGAATTGTTCAGAGAAAACCTAGTATGCATTCCTCTGGGATCTTCTCTGCAGCTCCTGGAGGGATGATGCTTAGCCTCACCTGTTGACCACCTTGGGCTATTTTGTGTGATTTCTGTCTGGGGCTGGCATAGCTAAGAAGCAATATTTGACTCACAACCATCTTCATTCTTACAAAGTTAATCTTTTTTTTTTTCCAAATTGGATTGGTAGAGATGGTAGGGAGAGTAGACCCCTTCTTCTGCTGCCTGTTTTGTGCCTCTAGCTTTCCTATTGACTGGGGTGCAGTTGCTGTGTCATCTTGGAAGCTTATTGTACCTCATGCTTGCACCTGGAGATGAATGCTCGGAGTATTCAATGGATTGCCTCCCTGGTACTTCCCAACTGAATGTTTCCGTTCTTTTACAGGGTTCCTTTATATTCCTTCTTTGACAGGAGAGTAGCCCTCTCTAATCCAGAAGATCTATATCCTTATACCTCTTAATCACAGAAAGCCTTGCTCCTAGGAAGAGGGCTGCAGCAGCTACTCTGTGTACTCAAGCAGAAAACTTTGGTGTTGGTGCCAGATCTTAGGCTTCTGCAAGATTAATTTATGCATATATAGCTTCAGTTTCTGGATTATGACTGTATTCAGTACCTCTCCTAGAAGTTTAAGGAGAATGGTTCAAATTTGTCAACTGGCGGGATGCTCTCTTTGTCTCCAGTCTATGGATGTCTTGGATATTACTGTTTCCTGTGTCTTTGTCTTGGCAAACATTTGTCCAGGTTCTGCTAGTTACCCTGATGCATCATCACTGCAGAGGAATCTGATTCCTTTATCTCAGCGCCTGATTTGTGAAAGGCGTCTGTTATGGAGCAACTTTGTGAAGCTTTCAGTCTTATGCCTTAGATTGTGAGCGTGAGATAGCAGTGCCTCATTCCCACTCAGTCCCTAGAATTAATCAGTTCTGCATGTTCTGCTTGGCTTCAGTCTGTCACGTGATGGCACAACAGCCTGCCACTGCAGAACTTCTCTTGGAGATCTCGGGCAGTGTGTATACTTGTGATGAGACATTGTCTTCCAGTTTAAATGTTGGGCTCTGGATGACCACCATTACATGACCACCTTTAGAGTCCAGATTCTTGTTCATCCTTATCTAGGAAGTTGGCTGGCTTTATGCCTATTGCCTTTCCCAGAAGAGCAGGGAAGGATTCAGGTCCACACATTGGACATCCCCATACGTTGTTTTCTTCAAAGACTGAGTTTCTCCAGAAACCCTGCAAATACCTTCCCCAGTGGGTGGTAGAGGCATTTTATCCTAGCCTTTTAGTATTTTCTGGAGGCTTCATGCTTCTAGAACAGAAGTTACAGCTGAAGACTGTAGTGCAAGAAGGGCCCTCTTGTGTTTATTCTCATGGACCCAGGCCTTCTAGGAAGACTCGCTTGCTGCCAGAAGATCCTGGGATTCCACTCTTGGCACACAGTAGGCATCCAAACAGGTATCAGTTGCATCCACTATGAAACTGTGAAAGTGGAACAAGAGAGCTCTCTCTAACCCTCACCAGGTACTTTTGGAATTAGCCTTCTGCAGTGCAGGCCTCTGACGTTCTTGCATTCCTTCTGTGCTGGTCTTGAACATCCACAGCTGAATTCAGCCTTTGGTAGGGCATCAGCGCGGTCATTTGTTTGCACCGTAGGATTCTCATCCTCTGCCAGAAATCACATGGCAGGGCTAACTGCTGAGTCATCATCTGTAAGAATGTACATGTGGACTCATTTGAAGAAAGCGAGCTTTCTTTCCCGTAGTCAGTGTTCTTCATGACGTGTAGTCCACATGTACATTCCTGTCCCATCTGCTTTTCCTTCTCTCTAATTCTTTTTCAGATGCAATGCTGTTGAGAGAGACTGAAATGGTGGTAGATGCACTCTCTTGTATGTCACACATGAAGCAGGAAAAGAAGGAGGAGCGAGAGTACAGGCTCTGCAGATACTGCCAAAGGAAAACCTTGCAGTATCACGTGGCAGGGCAGAACTGTGCCTGCCGTTAGAATGTACGTGTAGACTACCTGTATCATACATTGGTTACTGGTAAGTAGTTTTTTTTACTTGATCAGGGTGATAGGATTGTCTTTGGGCTTCCTGGATGGAGCATCATCTGGGGACTGTAGGCTCATCTCTTGGTTTTTCCGTGTTTGTGAAGGAGTTGAGGACTGTAGCATTTGTGTGTGCCTACGGATTGTTGCGTTCTCTCCAGTTACTAACACTTCTCTCCGCATCATTGTTAAGCGTGACGCACAGAGTTCTGACCTTAACTCAAGGTATTTCCTGTGGTGATAAACTGTTTATTCTGTTTCAATTTGCCATTATTTTAAATGGCCTCTTTTTTTCCATTTTCTCCTCCTGAATTGCAAAATGCATTTTTTGCACAACTAACTGATTGTTCATACTATATAATTCGACTACAACTTTCTACCTCATGCGTATAATTTTGAACAACTGAAACTGTTCTAATTTGGACTTGGACCTGTACCAGAATTTGAGCAGTCTCTCCTCATTTTGTCACCGAGGGTTATCATTGTGTGGTTCCAAACGCTTTATTAATAAATGCTTGGTTTTCTGATAGATAATTTTTATGAAACCAAGATAATTTAGAGGTGGATCTATCGGTAGGGTGAATTATTGTCTCTCCTGTTCAGACCTAAGAAAAGAACACCTCTCAGATCAGAAAATGTACCTCTGAACCTATTCTACCCGCAGTTCTTGGTCCCTGCTTGCAGCAGAGTTGGCTTTATCATGTATTAGTATTAAAGGAAACGTGCCACTTCCCATTTATGATCTCTTTCTCATAAAACAGTGGTAAAAGTAAGGGCTATCTGTGTATCAAGATTGGCTAAACTAGGAAATAGTAATACAGTCCTTCATAATGGCAGTTGTAGGCCTTATCAGGGCTTCCCTCTGACATGTTCCATGGCCAAAACATTCCAAAGATCCCAATAGAAATTAAATCAATTTCTGATACCTCTGATTGTGATCATACACGCTACATTACAGAAAACAAAGTACGCTGATAATCTGAGTTGGAAGCAGACACAGTGGGAGGGGGCAGAACATCACTTTCACAGCATGGTCTGTGTTACTTTTCAAAGGCTCTGTTTTTGCATTGAACCAGATAGTCATTTTGATTTCTTTCTTAATGTTAAGTGCAAAGCTAAGCTTCCTTGCTCCTTTATGCCTTCTCTCCCCATCACCTTTTTCCTTTGGCACTAGGGTAGGTCAAATACAGGCTGCTTAAGCAAGGGCGCTACTTAGCCAGAGAAACCTCTGAGAAAACAGGGGCTTCAGAAGTGAAATACAACCAGTGGCCAGAGCAAAGCTCGGTGTAATATTTAGCTCACAAGTGTGTATATCCTGGATTAAAAAGAGAAAAATTCAGTGAAGGAAGAATTTTGAGATTTCAGAATAAATTTGGTAAGGATAATAGCAGCAAGACCTTTATGAAATGCGCTCCTTTTAAAGAGTTGAAGAGGGCCATCCCACTGAAGATAGGGAAGAGGTAATGTGCAGTCACAGAAGTAAGTTCAGTAAGGGACAGCTCTGTGAGATGAGTTGCCTGTGGTCTCCAAGCAATAGCTGGCAGACTGGCCTGCTTAACACAGAAAAATCATCGACCTGACGGTGACAGAATAAAGTAGCCTAGTTTTCTGTCCGTTTCTAATTGTTTCTTGCCTAACGTGGTACTAGGAACACCAAAGTGTGCAATAAATAAAAGGAGTGGTATGTGTGTAACTGCTATCTCTTTACGTATGTCTCATCTTTTTTCTCATGTGTGCTTGTACTTGATCAAACCATCTGCCTGCAGTTTGAAAAACCACGGCTATGGCTTTGGATTCAGGTGCAGCTGAAGTATGAAGCTGGTGCTTCACAGCCTTCTGAAGCACTTCTGAAGGGAAAAAAAAACCTGCATTTGCAAACTTGCATCTTGAACCATGGAGAGCACGTTCCATGGGCTGGCAGAAAGATAAATCTCTCTTGCGTGCTGGTTTTGCTGTAGCTGATTGATAATTGACGTTAAAATCTTTATCTGTCAGTGGGGAAGCAACTTCTGTGTCAGCTGCTGAAGCATACCAACGCTGTGGTTCTGTGTTCTTCCTCTCCCTTTAGCAAACGTGTGTGTTGTGAAGGTGGATGGGACTCCTTATCTGTGTAAAGCCGACGAGGTTGGAGAAATATGTGTGAATTCGGGTGCAACTGGGATGGCGTATTTCGGCCTCCTCGGAATCACCAAGAATGTGTTTGAGGTTTGTATTTCTCTTCGTAATGTAAAGTTTCATAGTTACGTTTTTAGTATTTCTTCTTGCAAATCAACTTCTTTGTTCTTTAAACTTCATTTTCTATTTTATTAGAAAAAGCCACGACCAAATACACTTCTTCATTTTCTGTCGAAACTCAAAATTCTGTCTTTTATAACCAAAAATACAAAGGACCGTCAGCAGTCAGTCAGCTGCCTCTAGGTTCTGCTGTCCAGTGTTGTGCCTGTGTTAGCATGTAAATTCATCTTCATTCTGTATTAACACAGCAGTCGTCTGTATTTACCTGAAGGCGTTTCAGGTTTGTTAGTGCACAGCTTGGGACGTAGAATTAGAAATCTGGTATTTGACATCTGCTTCGTACAGTCAAAACGCATTTGTTAGGATAGAAAAGCTTCCTGTGTGTATTGCAAACAGCATGAGCTTTTCAATATCAGCTTCAGTGTTGATTTGCTGCGATGCTTAGAACACTGCATGGTTTGCTGTTGGATATGTGAAATCATGTTCCTAGGTATATGGAAAAAGAGATAGTAAGGCTGACAGTGTGACAGTCACAAGACTTGTAGTTTGTCAAGAGTAAAGCAAAAGCAGTATTTCTGCTGAGATTTTTCCTTGCGGTGGTATCCCAATTTCGTGTTTTCCGGGGAAGAACAGACTGAAAGTCCTTTGGGAGTCACACACACAGTAGTGTTACGCTGGGCAGCGGTTTGAAGACTTGGCTGAAGTATGGAGTTCTACCAGGGCGATGAAAGAAATCCGCACCGTAGTCTTCTCCTTCAAACAAAGCTGTTGCTGTCAGCTTGCCAAGCCTCAGCACTTCATGGAGCTTAGCCCTCAGCGCTGTCCTTGGCTAGCGGGAGAGCCAGCGAGAAACCTGATGTTAACGGAGGAGTTGGGGCTTGGGGCGAAGGCAGGGAAACCACCTGAGCAGATGAGAGGAACTTGCTGATGAGCTTAAAGCTTTTGCTGTGGTCCTTTGTTGTAGGCTGTCCCTTAATTGCAGCAACCTTAACTTTCTTAAAGTTCGGATAGCGTAGCATTTGTCCCAGTTGAAGCCACGTGCCTGGGTGCATCTCTTATTGGGGATGTTAATAGTAGCGACGGAAGGACTTTGATTAAGTGCTGTATGGGTGCACAGTATAAAACCCGCCTCCTAAAGCTCTGTGAACTCTTGTTACAAAGGCTGGGTAGCTGAGAAAAAGAGAAGACAGAGGGCTGCCACAGAGTTAAGAAGTGGTGTGTCCTTCATTATTCAAAAAGTTGCTGTTCATACATGACACAATGGTAATTTTTCAATGAAGTCTAGAGCCGCACTGAAACAGAGGTGGGCAGCACTTGAACCACTTTTCTTTTGCGTACTGCGAGTACTGACCTATTTCTGTGTTCTTTCAGGCCATTCCAGTGACAGCAGCCGGCGTGCCTGTTTCAGACCAACCCTACACAAGAACAGGATTACTGGGCTTTGTGGGTCCTGTAAGTGTGAGTGAGCCACCTGGGGCCCTGCTTTGGGACCTGCTTTGTCCTTACTGCCAACTCTAAGTGGTGCCCCCAAATTCAGCAAGATTCTGTCTCCGGGCAGTGACCTCAGTATTGCTGGATTTAATTAGACATGTGTTGCCATGAGCCTAGAGTTGTTTTCCGCTCTATTTCTAATCCTGTCTTCTTTTCAGGACTATTTGGTGTTTGTGGTAGGAAAATTGGATGGCCTAATGACAGTTAGTGGCCGCAGGCACAACGCGGATGATGTGGTAGCCACTGCACTGGCAGTTGAACCCATGAAGTTTGTCTACCGGGGAAGGTGAGTATGTTAAAAACTTTACTGCTGATTGGACTTTGCTCGTTTTATCACCTGCAAACGACCAGCAAGTACCATAGTGTACACAGCAGCTCTGCATGTGAATTTTTACATGTGTGTTCTGTAGGAGAGGTGACACAAGGTTGTGATATGCCAGATGAGAACTTGGCTGTCCCTGCTGACTTGGAAGACAAACATTGACACCCTGCTTCATGCAGAATAGATTTAAAATCACTTTCAGATAGTATAAGCATAGATCTTCTTTCAAAGCTTCTCTTAGGACAGTCAAATGAAACTTGTGTGCCGAACGTGAAACACAACCCTTTTGTCTGCCTGGGCCTTTCATGCAGAGTGGCCTAGGGAGGAACTTCACAGCACGTTGTAAAGAACATGTTGAGGCTGCTGAGGGACCTTCAGAGACGGTGTGTGTTGTAGCACCAGGCTTGCTGCTCTTCAGTGGCTCAGTGGCTGGATGGAGATCGGTGACAAGTGGTGTCCCTCAGGGGTCCATACTGGGACCAGTACTGTTTACTATCTCCAGCAATGACACAGTCGGATTGAGTGCACCCTCAGCAAGTTTGCAGATGACACCAAGCTGAGTGGTGCAGTTGACATGCCTGAGGGAGGAAGGGATGCCAGCCAGGGCCACCTGGACAGGCTGTGGAGGAGTGGACCCCTGTGAACCTCATGAGATTGGAGAAGGCCAAGTGTGAGGTCCTGCACCCGGGTCAGGGCAACCTCTGGTATCAATACAGGCTGGGGGATGAAAGGATTGAGAGCAGCCCTGAGGAGAAGGGTTTGGGGGTACTGGCAGATGAAAATTCCGACATGACTGGGCAGTATTCACTTGCAGCCCAGAAAGTCAAGTATATCCTGAGCCGCATCAAAAGAAGCGTAGCCAGCAGGTCATGGGAGGTGATTCTGCCCCACTACTCCACTCTCATGAGACCCACCTGCAGTACTGCATCCAGCTCTGGGGTCCTCAGCACAGGAAGGACACGGACCCGCTGGAGCAGGTCCACAGGAGCAGGCCACAGAAACAGTCAGAGGAATGGAACACCTCTCCTGTGAGGAAAGGCTACGAGAGTTGCAGGTGTTCAGTCTGGAGAAGAGAAGGCTCTGAGGAGACCTTATTGCGGCCTTTCAATACTTAAAAGGGGTGTATAAGAAAGATGGGGGTAGTCTTTTTAAAAGGGCCTGTAGCGATAGGACAAGGAGTAATGGTTTTAAATAAAATGATGGTGCATTCAGATTAGATACGGGGAAGAATTTTTTTACAGTGAGGGTGGTGAAACGCTGGCACAGGATGCCCAGAGAGGTGGTGGATGGCCCATCCCTGGAAACATTCAAGGTCAGACTGGACAGGGCTCTGAGCAACCTGGTCCAGTTAAAGATGTCCCTGCTCATGGCAGAGGGAATTGGACCTTAGAAGGTCCCTTCCAACCCAAACCATCCTACAAAAGTTGACCTTCCCACTTTTTGCATCACTTGTGCAATTCACTGTGCATAAAAACAATGGCACATACCTGGTTGAAGCATTGTCAACAGGTTATCCTGGAAGATGCAAGCCTAAAACTTAGTTCACAAAGGGGAGGAAGTATTTTTCAGCGCAAGCATTGATAGACATGCTGGTCAGTAATTTGGCATAGTTGTCTTCCAGGAGGGACATCGTATGTAGGTGCAACAAGTTTAGCATGCATGATGGAATTATATAGGCAAGGTTTGCAAAGCCCCTGCACGTGTGGAACCTGCCTGTGCTAAATGCATACATACTACATTTGTGGCAGCAAATTCACTTGACCCCCAGCAGAAATAAGTCATAGTAATGAACCTGCCTTTGTTCTAGATTTGTCTGTGATTTTGTGATGATCTGGCATGAATAATGCTTGTGTGTGTTGAAACGATACCATTAAAGGTCGCAGTCATTTCCACCTTATAATAAGCCATGCTGTGTTCATCATATGTTGCATCCTATCATTCTTCTGTCCTTTGCGTTTTAGGATAGCAGTGTTTTCTGTGACCGTTTTGCATGATGATCGAATAGTGCTTGTGGCAGAGCAGCGCCCTGATGCGTCAGAGGAGGATAGTTTTCAGTGGATGAGCAGGGTTCTACAGGTAGTCAGTCTGTCCTTTCTCTCTTTCCAGGTGAATAAGGCTGATGTATGAAATGAGAATCTTAGAGCATCTTTTTTTCCAGAAGAAAAAAAACTAGCAGTGTAACCACAGAGAGTGGCAATAAGTTGACTTCTGAATGTATTTTCAGGGTTTGATAGTTACAGAATTTTGTAAAAAGTAAGACTTTCTTTCAGAATGTTTTTTTTAATTCCTACTACTAGGTTTCCTAAAGTCCTAAGGATGATAGTTTTTGTTTTAATTCTACAATCTCTGCTGATTTCACACCGGCTGAGAAGTTAAGTCTGAAAATGTTTAAGTGTGTACTTAGTGCCAAGTATCAAAACAGACCTTGAAATCTTTTTGTGTCACTAACGGCCTTACTCTAGATCTCCGATCGTAAGCGTTAAAAACTTGTTCCCTTGAATACTTCATTGTGTTTCTGGGGATGGGGAGTTGGGGGCAGGGGAAGGGGAATTCTGGTAGGTTTGCATCTGAGGATTTTGGAATTAATTGATCAGTTCTAAGGAAGTAAAAACTGAGAAAGCAGTTACGGAAGGTGACTGCAGAAGGGACCACTGAAGGGAGGACTAGAGACAACAACTTAAGGGAAAAGATGCTGATTAAGTGTAATGCAGTGATGTAGTAATGTCTAATTTTGGCTTTGTAATTTTTTGGAGGGAATACCTGGGACTAGAAAGGCTGTTTTTCATGGGAGGAAATATTTTTACTTCTCTTTTTAAAACTGTCGTAGCTGAAATAGACATTTTTAGGCAGCAAGATGTTTCCCTCCCTATTTTTGTGGTTTTATGTTCTACTGTGCTTTTGTGATTGTGCCATACATGCTAAATTTGCTGTGGTATACTTTTGGCTTTTTAAAATCTCTGCACTTCTTGATCACTTTTAAGAGACTCTCCTAATCCCTGATGTGCAGGTGGCATCCCCTTGATAGAGTGCACAAGCAAAGTCCTGGGTCTGCTCCTGCTCCCATTGAAGTCATGGCACAACTTCTATGAGTTCAGTGAGTGCAGAATTGGACCCTTTATTTGCAAATTGTGGTGCAAGTAAAAATTTTAATGTTATTAAATGACTTGAATTCAAATTCTTGCTCTAGCTACATCCCAGTTGATAATGTGGAATGTTGGGTTTGGGTTTGTTTTCTTCCTATCAAGGCGATCGACAGCATTCACCAAGTGGGCGTCTACTGTCTTGCCTTGGTGCCAGCCAACACCTTGCCAAAGGCTCCGCTCGGAGGAATTCACATTTCAGAAACCAAGCAGCGGTTTTTAGAGGGTGCTCTGCATCCTTGTAATGTCTTGATGTGTCCACATACCTGTGTCACTAACCTGCCTAAGCCTCGACAGAAACAACCGGGTGAGTAAACCAGAGCGTGCTCCTTAGTTCTGCGTGTCCGGTTCCGATGGTACGCGTGGCGTATGGCCTGGAGGCAGCGTGCATGACAGCTCGGGGCAGTGCGTGTTGGATGGCTTTAAGCTGCTTAACCTGGCATGGTGGTGTTGTGAGGGCAGCCCAGAGCTCAGTGAGGATATTATGGTCTCCTTCGAATCCCAGGTAAATGCAGGGATGTGCAGCACGCACCATGCTGCTGTAGCCACATTATAAATTGTTCCTGTCTTGGCCACCTAGCAAAGGCTGGTCCTCAGGCATGCTGCAATTCATGCCCTAAAGCTGAAATGCAGGCAGACCTCAATTAGCTGAACCAGTAATAGACTGATTTTTAATCTTAACAGACTTAATTTTTAAGTCCATACTCAAAATAGTCTGATTTTTAGTGTCCCATACTGTCCTCTCTGCTCTGTGCAGTATCATCCTTGGGTTTAGCTTTCCATCTTTTCAGATCTGTGCTATGTACGACGTTTATAATAATTTCCAGGCTGAATTATAGATAATGACATGTTCCTTACACTATTTTTCCTCATTTTGCACTGTTTTTCATAATGCAGATGTTGGTCCTGCTTCAATGATAGTAGGAAACCTTGTTGCTGGAAAGAGAATTGCACAAGCCTCAGGGAGAGATGTTACCCAGTTGGAGGATAATGACCAGGCAAGAAAGGTTAACACTCATGGCCTTGTATTAGTACATATGTTTGAGCTGGCTTATTCAAAATGAGAGAAGACCAGTGATGGTGTTCTCCTGAAACTGAGCGTGGTGCATTTTTAGTGAGTCTGAGTGTCTCCTTTTTTTCCCATTTCAGTTCCTGTATTTAGCAGATGTTCTGCAGTGGCGAGCTCAGACAACGCCAGATCATCCCCTCTTCCTTTTGTTGAATTCCAAGGTGAGATGCACTTCAGGTCATATTTGGAGATTGAGATAGTAAGATTGTTTGAATTCTAAGAAAATTCCAGCTAGAAGTCTTTTCTTAAAATGCTGCAGGTTATTTTGATGATGTGGGATGTCATCATTTCGAAGCAGACAACAATTGCTACTTAGCAAACAGAGTGATTTTCCCATATTTGGAATTTTATTCCACATCTGGAATTTCAGTATGCATTCTCCCTAGCATAAAACATTGCAGTCATAGCATTCCCTGCTGGAACACAACTTTTGTCATGTTAGAGGAAGCCACACTTGTGTCTTTGTCCCTGCACACATAGCTAAGTGGAAATCAGAGCTGGAAGATTGTTTCATTAGAAGATCTAGAGTAAGTAGAGAACCCTTGGGGCAGCTTTGGAATCACATTTTCTAGGAGCACTGCACGCCCTTCAGGAAAAGATGGTGCCTTATCCTTGGCTAGGCTCTGCCCCCAGAAAGGATGGCACCTTAGTCACTCCAACCTGAGCAAGTAAACGTTTCACTTTTGGAGCGCAGGCTCTGTGTATTTACAGGCTCGATATCCTTTGTTCAAGGGCTGGCCCTTGTGATGCATGACAAGGCAACGGTCGTGTTTCTCAGTACATGCCTCATTTTGCTCACAGCCGCTCTGCTCTGCATGTGACTGGCAGTAATTGTGGAACATTCACGTACCCTGTGCATCCCATACTTGGTAAAGGGGTGTGAAACAACCTGCGCTTTTGTATGTGCCTCAGTATTTCAGCCTCCCTGGGCTTGAGGAGCACTACTGCTGTGCCTGTCTCAGAAAAGTCAAATACTTTTGCTGCTGTTCTGCCACTTTTGTATTCCCCTCCTTTGATTCCAGGAGACAAAGTTGGTCAATTTTTGTTTGAGCCTGTACTGGGTAGCTACCCTTCCAGTGGCAGTAACAGTCCAGCGACAAATTCGCTCTACCTTGTGCTGTGCGGTATGTGAGATGGGGAACGTGCTTTTGGAAGGTCCAGCAGCAGCCCTTGGGAAGGGAAGGATTTGCCTCTGAGTCTCTCATTCAGACAGGCATAGTGGTTTAGGACATGGTTCAAAGTTCTGACTTTTCCCATGAGACTGCTCTAGCAGAAGATACTGCTTCAATATAGTTATTGTTAAAAGCCACAGAATTGGTTCATTCTTCTGTCAGAGCAAAGAAGCTTTTGAGTGAAGTTTTCTAGTGTGAAGAAGCCCCTTTCTTGGGTCACTTTTTTCAGGCAGCTCTCACCCTTCACAAGGAGACTCTGCAGAAAGGAAGCACAAAGCTTGGGCACAAAGAAATGATCTGTTGGTGAGCACATGCCTTAAATAGCTGGGAGTGATAAGCTGCAGTGCTGAACATGAGCGTGTTCACAGCTCTCCATGAGAGACCCTTTTGTTTCACACCTTTTTGTGTCAGTATTTTTCTCCCATGTCCTTGAGCTGTTCCTGTATCAACAATACACTGTATTTACTGTTCTTAATTGGCATAACTTCAGCTCCCAGGCATCAACAACAGCTTCCTTAGTAAAACTCAGCAGAGTGCCAATGCCATCCTACATCAAACTAGGCCTTGGATCAGACAGCTGTGCACTTTGGGCTGAGGGTACAGGTGACAGCTCGTCTTGGACCTGAAAATGAATACTTGTATAGCAAGCATTTGCTCTGATAATCCTTATCTGTACAGTGGAAGGCTTGATTCCGCCTCTGACTCTTTGTCCCTGCAATGGACAGGGACACCCTCCACTAGACCAGGTTGCTCAAAGCCTTATCCAGCCTGGCCTTGAACACTTCCAGGGATGGGGCATCCACAGCTTCTCTGGGCAACCTGTTCCAGT